TGAAATTTTTTTGGTCTGTTTGAACTATCAGTTACTGAGAGAGATGTAGTAAAATCTCCCTCTGTGAAGATAAGTTGTTTCTTCTAAATTTAGACTTTACATATTTGGAGGTTATGTTACTGGGTTATGTTCAGAATCATGTCCTGGTTAGTTGAACTTTTTAAAATTTTAAAAAATAATCATTACCTATGGCTTGCTTTTATCTCAATTCTACTGATATCTTTTGCCCTCATGTCTCTTGTCTAATGTCAAAATGGCTAACTTAGTTGGTTTTTTTTTGGGGGGGGGCCAGGGCGTGAGGAGCTATTATTAGCCTTTACTTTCTTTTTCTGACATTTCGTGTAAATTCAGGTAAGAACCTACTTAAACAGTACCTCCCTTACCCCCAGAAATTTAGAAAGGATCAACAAATCTAAACATAGTAAATTTGCAAAAAAAAGTTGTAAAACAATGAAAATAGACCCAAATAAACACTATTAGCAACTAAAACGTGATCAAACCCATCCATATAGTAGTTTTAAAAATAAAAGAATATTATTAGTCATGTTATTCCAGTGAATTTGAATTTCCATGCAATACATCAGTTCATAGAAGAATACAGTTAGCATAGTTGTCACAGGTAGAAATAGAAAACATGAAATTGACAATAATATGAAAGAAATCAGTTATCAAAAGTCCATTGAAAAGACACACATGCTAGATGTTGTCACTAGCAAGTTTCCCCAGACCTTCAAGTCATAGTCTCTTATATTGTCTTCTAAAAGTTTTATAGTTTTGTTTTTCACATTGAGATCATTAAACAATTGGCAATGATTTTGTTTTAGATAATAGAAAAGGAGAGATACTGTTCACTACATTTAATGAAGTTGGTTTATCATTGGTACCAAACCAGGTGAAGATAGTGTGAAAGTTGGTTATACAAATTGGGACATTCTTATTATACCCAAACTATAACTGGAGTTGAGAGGCCAGGAGGAAAAAGCACTTGGGGGACATAGCACCTGCTCCAAGAAAATTTTTCTATGAGCCCCACTGATGAAACAGGCTGCTCTAATCCTAAAACTAGTTTTATCTAGTAGCTGCAGAAATGAACTGCCATGACTTTTCAGACTAATTTTTACTTACTGCCTTTGCTTACCAGTCAAAGCCTGCCAACCCCCCAAAACTTTGTGTCAGTGAGCTTTCTTTCAAAACAGTACATAACATTCCTCTCTCATAAAATTCCCAAACTTTTCTTTGTTCTTAAGGCATACTGGAGACCACCCCAGTCTGTGTGTGTGTCCTGGATTGTAATCCTGTTTTCACAAATAAATCTTCTCTTAGAGATCTGTCTCTATGTCTTGACTCTAATAAACAGTACAGAATAAAGATAATTGTAGACAAACTTTGTTTATGAACATAGGTGTAAAATTACTAAATAAAATCAGAGCAAATCAATTTCAGCTGTGTATTGAAAACTATGTTACAGCCAGCTATCATTTATCAAAATACACAAAAAATGGTTCAACTTCTAAAATCTGCTTAAGTAATATGCCATGTTAAGGGAATGAAAAAGAAAAACCAAATTTTAGTTAACAGTTCTGCCAGCTATGTATTAGAATACCTGTTATTCACATTTCTGTCAACACTTGGTGGTTTCATATTTTTTATTTTTTGGCCTATTTGGTTGGTATATAGTAGAATACTCCTTTAAGTTAATTTACATTTCTCTGATTTCTTGTAATGTGAGTATCATTTTCTGTGCATTAGCAATTCGTATGCAGCCACAGTGAAAGTTTTAAATAGGAGAGTAATACTGCATAATTTGTTTACCTGAAGACAGGGCCTGTTTTATTCATCTTTGTACCTCCAGCATCTTATAACATGCTTGGCATACAGTGGCTGTTCAAAGATACTTCTTGAGAGAGTTGAATAATAAATGATTAGTAAACTGTAAGCCTTCTGAAGAAATTTTTGATGTAAGCAACTCATTTTCGAAGGCCTGAAAATAGAACAGTTTTGCAATGTTAAAGAAATGAGATATTTATTCTAGCACGTTTCAGGATGTGAAGAACAGAAAAGGTTATTATTTTAATTTATGTTAATGCTATAGGCTCCCATAAAACTTGTATAACTCACCAACTCTTTAATCCTAATTTTGCATGATTTTACAGTTCTCATTTGCTTGTGCATTCAAAGTATATGTTACTGCATGGAAAGATTATTTTTTTAAAGATTGTCATTCTTTGTACCTTTGGTAAAAGATTATTTTAACAATGTGAATTGTATTTACCTGAATTGTGTGTTGATCTGAAAGATATTTCAGTTACTCTGGATTTAAAAAATAAATTATTTTCTGTTTTGCAGTAGTTTTTGAGAGGATTGAAATATCTAGATTTCTGACGTTTTAGATAGGTAGGACGTTACCCAGAGGAAGATATACAAAGAATTATTCTTTAAGAACTGAACTGTACTATAAATAACTGTGTACTTGTCTGTTATAAGAGAGAGAGAGAGAGAGAGAGAGAGAGAGAGAGAGAGAGAGAGAGAGAGAGAGAGAGAGAGAGAGAGGGTACAAGGATCTTTTAAACAACCAGCTCTTATGAGAACTAATAGAGCAAGAATTCAGAAAACAGGGGTATTCCACACTGCTTAGCCCAGTAAGTCTACTAGAGATTTCTGTGTTAGTGTTTTAGATTGTAAGGAAAGGATACAGAAGAGAGAGCGTTAATCCATTCGTGAGGGATCTGCCCCATGACTTAAATAGCTCCTAACATTGCCACATTGGGAATCAGATTTCCACGAGTTTTTGTGGGGTGGGGTGGGGTGGGGTGGAAAACACATCCAAATTCTGTCAGGTTCAGTAATGAGATATACTTTATGTGGGTGTCAGGTTCTTTGGAAGCCTTGAGAGAGAGGGGCAACATAAAGGGAAGTAGAAGATAGGCGTAAATGTTGTGTTCCCCTTTGTTACGTTTTCCAGATCTAGCTGGCAGTTAGACTAGTACTAGTCTCACACTGGCTTCACTTTTTTTTTTTTAAATTCACGCTTTCTATACCTTCCCTTCTTAACCAAGTATTTTTGATATGCTAGTACAGAAGCTGGGAAAGAGACAGATGCTAACATCCCATTAGTGCACTGTTCCTTGTGGTTCCCTTATAGTCCACCTATAGCTTTGTAAATAGTCCACTTGTAAATAAACTGTCCTCAAATTAGGATAATTTGTTTCCTACTGGGACCCTGACTGATATGCAGTGGCCACAGTCTCACAATTTATCCAGTCCAATGCCTTGGTCATTTTATCAAAGTGTTCACTCCCTAGCTGTCTTCACTCCCTCTCCCCCTTTCTCCCCCCCCCTGTCCCTCTCTCCCTCTCTCTCCCTCTCTCCCATTCCCTCCCTCTCTCTCCTTCCCTCTTCTCTCCTCCTCCCTCCTCCTCTGTCCCTCCCTCCTTTCCTCCTCTCCTTTCTCTGTTTCATGCTCATGAGATCCTTCATACCTTCGTTTGAACTTTTTCTTTGATCTTCCTTTTCTCTGTTGTGTGAATTCCAAATACTCATAGAGATCCAATTTCTGTACCGTTTCCTTAGAATCTAAAACACTAATGCAGAATTCTCTAGTAGACTGGGCTAAGCAGTGGGGAATACCCCTGTTTTCTAAGCTAGTTAGGACTAAATACCTTCAGACCAAAGCAAGCTGTAAGGCCTGCTGTGTCTGACTCCCCTAATACTCAAATGTGTATCTGATCTTGTCACCCTCTGGCTCCATGGAAGCAAGAAAGAGAGGAGAGCTGTACCCATATATGACCTTTTAATCATATCACCTCTTTGTGTGAGAATAAAGAGGAACACGAGCAGAGAAAGGAGTCAGGTCTAAACTTCTGTTAGAGGCAGAAGAGAATATAATTGATTTCAGCATTGTAAAATAACAATTTATTACCTGTTATTAATAGGATTATGTCTAAATTCTTTGCATGACATTCAAGGTATTTTCCATTTTCAGCTCTGATTGCTTTGCGTTTCTTCTCACAATTCCGTAACAACAGTGGATTATTTATCATTATCACACCACATTTACTTCTTGCCTCTCTTCATTTACTTATATTGGTTCCTCTGCCTGGAATGTCTGCACTGTCAAACCCAGGCAAAGGAGCAAAACTCTACTTAGTCCTCAAGGTTTAGTTCATCCGTTACCTCCTTTATTAAAAATTAGTGTTCATATGATTAGGGTCCCATTCTCAATGATCCTGAAGCACTTTATATTTATCTCTGTTAGAAACTTTATTGCATTATTATATTTTGTGTGTGTGCCTGCACGTGAATACTTGTCTTTCGTGAAGACTGAGAGCTTCTTGAAGGAAGATACCGTATTGTAATCATCTTTTTTTTTTAAACTACAGTCATTGCCACCATGCTTTGTATAGTGTAGACTTTTGCTAAAGACACGTTAAAAGAATAAATAAATGAATAAGTGTGAAAGAAATGTTAATTTATTTGGTAGGAATTGCTGAAGATCCTGCTGGTGCCATGGAATCTGCTTTTACTTGTTGGATCTTTGTGTGTCAAAATATATATATATCTAGCATTGATAGAATACATAGATTGTATAGCACGAGAATAAACTGGTTTCTTTTTTTATTTTTTGCGGCTGGTCCGTATGGTGATCTGAACCTTTGACGTTGGTGTTACAGCACTGTGTTCTACCCAACTGAGCTAACTGGCCAGGCCCTGGTTTCATTTTTATATTCCTGCTGCTTTCCATTATTTCATATGTTATTTGGCGTTCAAACATGTTTCTCACCAAGAAATGAAATTCACATATAAGAAATAAAGGAAATACATTGTTTTCTTAGAGAAGTTAAATCTATTTATTCTCATAGTTTGATGAGATTGTTAAGTACTTTGGCTTAATTCTTACCATAATTTGAATTTTGATTGTGTAAGTAAGAAGTACCATTATTTATATCTCATTTGTATTACATTCCATTGAGAAAGTAATTGATGTTGCTCTTTTGTTTCAGCTAAACCGTTTACTTCTAAAGTGAAACAAATGCGATTACATAGAGAAGACTTTGAAATATTAAAGGTGATTGGTCGAGGAGCTTTTGGGGAGGTAAGAGATTAAGATTTTATAGAAGATCTGATTGTTTTGGAAGCCATTTTATTCAGTCTTGAGAGAATTTAACCGAAATATTATTTAGTTGCTGTTGTAATTGATAGTTAATCAGAAAATATGTTAAAGTCTTGAATGAAATACTTCTCGGTGGAATTTTTTCATGAGATGTTTCAGTTTTCACATGTACTTTATATGTCAATGTAAGTATGAGTTTGTTTCTGAAGTCTCTTTTGTTTTCTTGGTCTATTTGTCTTTCCTTGTGCGAGTACCACACTGTCTTAAATTACTCTAGTTTATAAGAACTCTTGATATCTGGTAGTGTATGTTCTCCAACTTCCTTCTCCCCCGTCTCTCCTTCCTCCTTTGTATTGTCATATTACTGTAGAAACAGTTTTCAATTTCTACTCACTCATACCTCTCCATACATACACGCATACCCTACCTGCTGGAATTTGGATTAGGATTGCATTGAAACTGGAGATCAATTTGCAAATAACACCTTAATGTTGAGTTAGCTAATCCATGAACAAGGTATGCTCCTCCATTTATTTAGAGCTGTGTAGTTTTCCCTCAATAATGTTTTGTAGTTTTCATTCAGTATAGAGAACCTCCATATTTTCCAGCAGATTTATTCCTAGGTATGTGATATTCTTAATGATATTTTATTTAGAATTTTTTGTTAAATTTCACTTTCTAATTGTTTTCTTGGTAGTAGTTAGAAATATAATTGAATTTTGTTTATTGACCTCATACCCAGCAGTCTTGTTAATTATACTTTTAAAATCATGAATTGTGTTGAATTTTAATAAAATGCCTTATCTGTGTCTTTTGAGACACTCATGGTTTTTCTCCTTTACGTTGTCAATGTATCAAAGTTTACTGATTTGTTTTCAGATGTTAAGCTAACTTTGCCTTCCTAAAATAAGTCCAACTTGGTTGTGATGTATTATCCTTTTTATGTATCGTGTGCTATTTTTTAATGTATGTTTTTTTGGGATCTTTGCATCTATGCTCTTGAGAAAACTTGGCCTGTGATTTTTCTGTCTCTAATGTCCTGATCAGATTTTGGTATCAATTATGCTGGTTTCATAAAAAGTGGGAAGTGTTCTGTCTTTTACAAGAGTTTGTGAAGATTGTTATTATTTTTTCCTTATATGCTTATAAGATTTCACTGGACGGCCTAGTGAGAAAGTTTTAAATAATATATTCAATTTCTTTAATGGAAATAAGACTACTTGGATTTTTCTATTTATGTGTCAGTTTTGCTAGGTTTACCCATATCATCTAATTTTTCAAATTTATTACTGTATTGATTGTACGTCTCATTTTATGATTTGTCTTGCTAGGGTTATGTCTATTTTATTATCTTCTTAATGAATTAACTTTTGGCCTTTTGAATTTTGCTATTATAGATTTGTTTTTGTGTCAATTTCTGCTCTTTAATGTTTTCTTCTACTCTCTTTGGTTTTAGCTTGCTATTATTTTTCTAATTGATTGAAACAGACATATAGAGCATTGATTTCTAGCCCTTCTTCTTTTCAAACGTGCTTTTAAAGATATGCATTTTCCTCTAAGCAGCTTTAGGTACAGCTGATGAACTTTTTTTTTTTTTTTTTTTAAAGATGACTGGTAAGGGGCCGGCCCGGTGGCGCACTGGATGGGTGCGCCGCTTGGGAAGCGCGGCGGCACTCCCGCCCGAGGGTTCGGATCCCACATACAGACCGGTTCCCGCTCACTGGCTGAGCGAGGCGCGGGAGCAACACCGAGGGTTGCGATCCCGTTGCCGGTCCCCGGTCCAGTGCGGGGGCAACACTGAGGGTTGCGATCCGTTGCCGGACACGGAAAAAGACAAAAAACAAAAAAAAAAAAAAAAAAAAAAAAA